CCAAAAGGTATTGGAGAAATTCAATATGGACAAATCATATCCAACCAAAACCCTGATGGTAGTGAGATCCATAGATATTAAGAAGGATCCTTTTAGACCACGGGGGAAGAAGAAGAGATATTAGAACCACATGTCCCATATCTTAGTGTCGTTGGAGCACTAATGTATCTTGCTAATAGCACCCGGTCGGATATTGCATTCGCAGTAAATTTGCTGGCAAGACATAGTGCTTCTCCTACCAAACATCATTGGGTAGGAGTCAAAACCGTTTTGAGATACCTCAATGGCACTAGAGATCTTGGATTATTCTATAGTAGAAATCAAGACCCAGTTTTGTTAGGATATACAGATGTTGGTTATTTATCAGATCCACACAATGGCAGATCACAAACAGGCTTTGTATTCTTACAAGGTGGAACAATAATATCTTGGAAATCTTCAAAGCAGACTGGTGTCTATTTCCACCAATCATTCTGAAATAATTGCTTTATACGAAGCATCATGTGAATGTGTATGGCTTCGTAGAATGATAAACCACATAATACAATCATGTGGTATTGGTGCACTTGAGACACCAACAATTATCTTTGAGGATGATTCGGCATGTGTTACACAAATGGAATTAGGTTATATTAAGAGTAATATGACTAAGCATATTATTCCCAAGTTATTCTATCCCCATGAGCTCCAAAAGAATGGAGAAATTGAAATCTTGCAAACTAAGTCATGTGATAATATAGCAGATTTATTCACAAAATCTCTACCATACACCGCATTCCGTAAATCTGTTGAGGGCATTGGTATGAGAAGACTTAGAGACTTGCAAGAATCAGGGGGAGAATCCCTCTAAAATATAACCTATTTTCAACATCACATTACACTCTTTCTCCTTTATATGAGTTTTACTCTTCTAGAGTTTTCTCATGTAAAGTTTTTAATGAGGTAATGTTAACACATAGTAAATGTCATATTATCTATTTTTCCCCACATAGGTTTTTTCGAAGATAATATTTATGACATATTGATCTCTGACCAAACTGTTTTAGACTATGTCTTTAGGGACACCTAAAGGGTCTATTAACATTGGAGTTATATATATCATGGTGTTTCTCCTTATTGTTTCCACTGGATTTTAAAGAGTTTTGCCTGGTATATCGGTATACTTTGGTTTTTTTCCCACAGGGTTTTCCAAAGCTTCAAGACGATGACTGATGAACAAACAACGATGCCTACAAGAAACCAATTGATCAAGGGGGAGTGTTAAGATTTATTATTAGTGATCAATTTATTGTTAATCACGTCATTTAGCAACCGCTAATGACAGTTGTATAGTAGGCATTAGAGAGACACCTTTTGGCCAATCGACACCCTTTGGCCATTAGGCAACTGCCCATTAGGCTTGTATATAAACATGCACTGTTCATCATAATAAGACATCGGTCATTTTCATTTGATCGCTCTCGCTCTCACCGTTTTCCACTTAACAAACCTCCCTTGTTCCATAACTCATATACTGGGAGTTGGTTAACTGGCATAGGGAAATTGAGCTTTGTAGGGTCGCTTCTTTTCTTTGGGCAGTTTCATGAACGCAAAATGATACTTTTAATGCGAGTCACTTCTTTTATACAAGTTATTTTGAGGAGAAAATACTAGCCATAATTTTTAGCACTATTACAACACGAGGAGAAAAATGGGATCGGCTGACTGGTGAGCAGACATTTTCACCAAGAATAAATGGAGAACAATAAAATAATTTGCTTATCATCAATATTTTAAATAGCAGGTGACCTTCTCCAAAAAGCTATAAAGGATATAGTGAAAGCTTTTTTATTACTGGTTTTATAGAAAACATGAAAATTCTTTAAATATGCATGGAAACATTTAACTAAGAACAAATTCGTAAACATAAAATACTCAAATACATGTCAACATTCACCAAATCAATCAACATACTCATGACTACGATCAACATTCATATTCGTTCAATATTCAATATTCATAGTTCAAAAGTTATTCAATAGTTCATTGTATCATTTATTTAGTACATTACCTAATAACGAGATATAGCCCTATTTGGAACCGCTTATAAGAAAATCGGTTATGATCTAAATAGGATTTTCTAATAAGTGTCTGTTCAAAAAAATTTATATTATGGAAAATAAGGGTGTTTGGAAATCCTTATTATTATAGCAATCCTGTTTGGAAATAGGTTATTATAGCAATCCTTTATGCCCTTCTTCATCTGATGCCCTTCCAAAATTTCATCATTGTTCGGTCACCTCCCCGCCGCTCCCCACTTCGAGGCCTGACCTTGTGCCTGACCACCATTGCATCCAGCGCCTCCCTCCCGACCATCGCCCCCCTTGGCTTGCCACCACTGCCCTTCTTGTTCCCCGTTGGCCTCGTCATCGCTGCGCGCGCATGGGGTGGCCGAGGGGAGCGAGTGGGAAGCAAATGAGGAGTTCTTTTTTCTCGTGCAGTGGAGCAACATTTCTTCTCTTGGACAGGGGAGGAGATAGCAGGAGGAGACGGGGTGAGTGGAGGAGGTCAGGAGAGGAAGGGAGGGGCAACCAAGGAAATCATCCCGCAATAATGGATGTACCGCGAGGCCTCCCTCATGGAACATGAAACACCCAGTGTAGTTCAAACTTTGATTTTTATCCTAGTTCGACTCTAGATAATCGAAGAATAACCGAGTAGTTTGAGTTGGATTCTTGATTGTTTTTTTACATAGAATCCGATTTTTAAGTGGCTCTGCCTCAAGATTAACAGTGATAAAAGTATTTCATGGCTAAGCCAAATAGCAGTGCTTAATAGAGCTAAAATATTATTACTGACAACGGAACAATTAGCAGTATCATAGTGCCGGACCCTATGAAAAAGCTATAACTAAGTTATAGCAGTACTATAACAGGTTATCTAGAACTATGCCACGGATCATTTTCATTTACTTCTGTTCTATCTTCAACTTATTTTTTTGCAAGGTATTTTCTAATTTAGGCCCTATTTGGATGCAAATATTTTTGGAGTATCTGGACAAGTACTCCGATTTTACAAAATACTTTTGTTTTCAGAAACTGCTGGGGTTTGGATATAGTAAATCTTATAGTTTCTAAAACCATGATTTTTTCAAAATTGTAATCTTTTGAGTTTTAAAACTCTATCCGTGACCCCTATTTTCTAAACCATGATTTTGTATCGCTTTGGCTTATAAAACAATAGTTTTGTGATATAACTACATTATCCAAACATGCCAAAATCAGTTTTTAAAAGTTGACGTCTCCTTTAAAGTGTTAGTTGAGTGAACGGCAACGGAAGCCATCTCGATTCACCAAGGGCCTGCTTGGTTGACATCTAAAATTTGCCACGCCAAAGATTTCACAAGCTAAAAGTTGGGCAAAAACATTGCCATAGATTTGGCAAGACATATGTGAGAATTTGGCAAGTTTGGGTAGTAAATCAAATACTAACCAAAATCATGACTTGCCAAATCTTTAGCATGGTAAATTTTGGAAGCGTACCGATCAGGCCCCAAATGAGAGGGATGGGTTTTTCTTTTCTATTTTATGCCTCCTAGATTTAAAGCTTGCCGACAACTTAAGTGATAATATCTATGACAGATTCCATACCTCCTAAAAGAACAACATTTGATTGGGCATAAAATAGAAATACACATTTGTTCTCAAGATTTCAGCAAAGAAAAGTTTTACCACAGTATTACAAACAAAATTATCCCCTCTATTTATAGTGAAAGGTAGAGAAGATATAGAGAAAAGAGGAGTAACGTATATAACCGGTAAAAACAGGCTGGCACAGTTTGATGGCTTCCATATATTGAAGTTCGATGGAAGAGTAGTTACTACATATATGTAGATTGTTAAGGAGCTCCATTGATCAAAGCTTTCATTGAGCTCCTAACCAATCCACTTGATCTTGGAAATGAAAGTTTGAAGTAGTTGGTTGTGTGGTTGCTACCTATATCACCAAAAGTCGCCATATGCCTAGTTTCATACATATATTTTTTAAAATCACTATCTATCTTGTGGTTCCTAAATTAAAATTAACTGAATCTTATATGGATTCCTTTTAGTTCTTATTTGCTAGGATTTGCTCTCGTTATCTATTATAATTAGTCTATCTAGATTGAAGACCAATTTATTTTGATGACAACACAAGTTGAGAGATTTTCCCACGGCTAGCAAACAGCCCAGTCCAACCCGTGGACCCACAGTTGTGTCGAGTATTTTTTGGATATACCTAATATTTTTAGGTATTCAGATAATACTCCATTCCGAATTATAAGACATTTTAACTTTTATAGACACATTGCTTTTACTATATATCTAGACATTGTGTATGCCTAAGTGCATAGAAAAAGCTATTGAGTCTAGAAAAACCAAAAAAATTATAATTTGGAATGGAGGGAGTAGCGCTATGTTTTCAGTGGTAGGCAACGTCTCCGTCGACAGTGAAACGTCTGTGGTGACTTCGTGAATCTTAAGATTTGCCGGCTCAGTCCTTCGGAGGTGCTCATAGAGATAGGGTTAGCGTAGTGTGTTCATAGAATGAATGTGTGTGCGTGTTGTGAGCGTCAACCTAACGTGTAATTCTCAAAAAAAAAAAATAGTTGAGGTGTCAAATTGCTATTCTGTGCCTGTAATTTTTTTATTCGCCACAAGCCAGCCCACAGGCCACACACCCGACGGCCCATCCGGCCTTTCCCACTCCTCGCCGATTCCTCCGAGAGAGAAAAAAAAAACGCCGGCCGCAATCGGGAACGGAGAACCCTGGCAGCCGGCAGCGTCGCGCCGCCCCCGCCCCTCGCCGCCTCGGCGCGTCGCCGGTGGCCGGCCTCGCTCCATCCAGCAAGCTGACCAGCTCGACTGCTCGAGCTCGTCCTCGTCGTCGTCTACCAAAGCCGCCAGATCACGGCACTCCGTCCAACCTTCGGCGCTACCGATTCCCTTCTCCGCCGCCTCTCCTCCTCGTCGCCGGTGAAGATGATACCCCAGAGCCAGAGCAGCTCCCTGCAGCGCCTTCAACTCGTCGAGAAGGTAACCTCACGGCCCGCACCCCGATCTCGGTGGTTGTCAGTTCGGTTCCTTACGCTGGCTCGATGTTTGTTGTGCGTGTGCAGCGGATAGTGCGGGTGCTGGAGCTTGCTGGAGCGGTGATGGAGGAGCTGGGAAACTCTCAGGGCCCTCGCACCGATGCAGTCGGCGCGCACTGCCGCGAGCTCATGATCGCTATGAAGGTAACCAGTCCACTGCCTGCCCTCAGATCGTTAGGCTGCGCGTTCCTGTTGTTACCAGTTATGCGCCTCAATCCTCGCTAATATCATGCTAGAGAGACTATTGGAAAATCAACAGCTGTTTTAAAGTGCTGTATGAAAATTTTTGCTCCGGCCAATGCTACTTTGTTTCCATCAAATTGACTATGTAAATATATGCATCTGCTCATCAATTGGTTTTTATTTAACGCAGTATACGTGCCACAAATCATTCATGATAACTCACTGCTTAATTATGTTTTGGTTGGAGTAGGAAATTCAAACAACGTTGCGTGAGGAAATCAAAAGTGCTTGTGAATATCGTCCATTTGAAAAGTGTGATTACAGCGCAAGGATTGCTAATGAGATATCCTGCAAGAAGCTGGAGTATGTAATTGAGAAGTTGGATACCATGCAACACAACCTTGAACAGAGCACTGATGATGTTTAGTGAGCTGGCTACACAGTAGTAAGTGTACCCTTTTTTTGCAATAAAGTGTAAACTGCTTAGCGAATAAGAGGATACTTTATGATGATAGCATCCGCTCAATCAGGTGATTTTATCAATACTTTGCGGCAGTGGTAGAGTTGGTGAATTAGCTCTTTTCAATTTCTTGGTACTTGCAATGCAGCCATTATACACTACATGACTTCCGCCGCGCTATATATTACTCCCTCCGTTCCAAATTATAGGTCGTTTTGTCTTTTCTAGATACACAACTTTTTATTACGTATCTAGACATACCGTATATCTTGGTGCATAGCAAAAGCTATGTACCTAGAAAAGCCAAAAAGACCTATAATTTGGAACAAAGGATGGTACGTGTTTACAAGGACTTCTATTTTGGCTTGTAAATTTGCTTGCAGAAGTTCTTTCCATTCATGTCTTATGTTTAAACTTCAAGCCTTCATCTTCTCATCCTCAATGTGTAATTCTGTTGTTTGAGAGGATAATGTTTACACCAGATATTTGTATTTAAATACACTGCTGATATCGCTTGTTATATGGCTAGCTCTTGTAATGCTTCCATATGTCCGCAAGGGCGGTAATTCTCTTTTTTTTTCCCCATTATGATTCTACAATAATCTTTTCTGGTACTCATCCTTGATGAATTGTCTACCTTCTAAACGGGGATCAGGTTTCGTCTGAGTTGAATTACTCATACTCTGTCAATTACTTTCAGGTTTGGGAGCAACAGATGATCGAGCAGTACGCAGAAGGAATGTAGAAGCATTGTATCAACCTATAATTGCAGGAAACTTTTGCTCAACTCTGGGACTGTAACTTGTGGTTTGCTTGTATTCCATGTTCTGTGACAGAGTTCTTAGTTTAGCTGCCTGCTGATGCTCAGTAGCATTGATCTTGGCCTGAGTAGGATTGGAGTAGCATCCTTGAGCTTAAAATCATGGGATTTTAAGGCAGTGTATTTTACTGATGAGAATTTGCTCTTCTGTATTGCATGGACTTGCTTCATCCTTAGAACATGCCTTTTGGTATATTGTTAACTCGTTTTTCAATGATGATCTTCATGTGATTGCAATGAATGCTGTTTTGATTTAATTGTTCATGCTGGTTCGACATCCATTGCATTTGAAGCTCATCATGTTTTATCTGCTGTAAATACTGTATGGCTATTTAGTCTAGTTTAGAGAGCAGGTAAAACATAAATGAGGCATTTATCTGTCATTAATCTTGAAGTCTATGACATATAACATGATTGGGTATGATGCCACATCAACCTCTTAAAATCCAAAGTACATTGAGGATTCATATTCCATTGTATGATTTTCAGTGTATCTTCCAAGTGCATCTTTTTTGTTCGCAGACTTGTTCTTTAATGAAGGTCACCAATTAGGTGAACAACATGCTTTATTTCGAAGATGGAGATAACTCATCCCTTGAGTCCTTTTGGTGTGAGGTCAAGGAGTGTGATGGACACATGAAGTTAGCTGACACCCTTAAGGTTATGTGTTATCCATTTCCCATTTACAACGTGTGTCTTGGGGAACATACCTCTGCCCAAGAGGGGAAGGACCCATCGGTGGGGTCAGAAGAGAATGGTAGGCAAAATCGCAGAGGAAACTGATGCTCTTAAGAGATATACCATTTCTTGTTGAAGTCTCTTGAGGCCTGGGCTCAGGGATATGGCTACTATGCCTACTCCAACCACTTGATCAGGGAGATCCGCAGCAGCATCTACAAAGAAGGGAAGCTCAACAAGCGTCAGAGCTAGTCAGCCAACCTCCATACATGTGCCCAAGTAGTGCAGCACACTACTAAGGCTCAGAAAATGGAGAATAGTCCTTGGCCTGAGTTCTGATCTAAATTAAGACACTGGTGTCAGAAGACAAAGAGGTGACCACATTCCTCGCATAGAGCAGGGGTAACCGTATAGGAGTTGAGGGAGACACTTGCTCATGATTTCGTGCCTATATAGCCTCAGCTTTGTGCAATTGAGGCCCCAGAACCTTGTGCCAATGAGGAACCAGAATTGGAATCGACCCAACAGGTGCTGATGATGAGGCGGACAATTGCTCCTAGCCTCCTATTGTCTAGCTTTGTTCTAGTCCATGTAAACATCCACAATTTATGGCTCTTGAACCAATCACCAACCGAGTTTAGAGGTAAGTACAAATACAACTACTTAGCTTTCAGTTTTAACCTTCCAACTTATGGTTCCTTATGACTATCCATACTTTCAGTGGAGAATATAGTAAATTACCATGCTGCAACACATGGGAAGCCAATAACTGGACTTGACAATAGAATGATGATGATGATGAACTCCCAAACGAGGTAGCTACCTCTTTGTTCATTTTGAAGCATGTCTATTACTGTCCCTTTGTATCTCTTTATGCTGCCATTTATATTTTTCAAATCACAACTGAAGCGCATTTTGCGTTTGCGTTAAGAATCAAATTGAGGGATCAAACTGTCTGACTTTACATTATAGAGACTAAATTGAACCTGAGGAAAAATTATGAGGATTGGTGTGGACTGACTGACGAGATCTTAACATATGGGTATGTTAAGTCTCGGGATCAATGGTTCCCGACCGAAGAGACCCCCCGACCGGCCCCTCTAGGATCGCTGGGGGGCTCGTGGGCTATACCCATCGGGTACACTCGCGCGCACCCTCAGACCAAGAAACCTGGCCGAGCCTGAGCACGCCGCGGCCTCTGCTCAGGGCTCGGGGGCCCGCCCAAGCGCCCGAGCCTTAGGTTCCCGATCGACGAGAAGCCATGGCCCGATCCTTGGCTCCTGCCTGGCTTACAATGCCAGCCAAGGCTTGGGCGCAAGAAGACACGGCCTGAGCCATCGAGGCTAGGGGGCTCCCCGACGCTGCACCTTGGACGTGGCTTTGCCGGTCGCTCCCCCGACAGGGTCACGCACGGGGCGTGACACAAGAAGAAAAGCTCTCCCTCGGCCTTCGGGGGCTCGGGGGCTTCCGGGCCCGCACGTCAGCCTCTCGAGCCGACCTCCCTCACCACCGAGAAGACTCCAGAAGGCACGCTTGGGGGAGGCCAGTCCAAGCTGACACAGCCTGACACTCAGCGTGTCAGAACAGGCCAGCCGGACGATGCCTAGGGCTTCTTCGGCTCCACGACATCGCCACGGTCCACAGAACGCTGCTGCAAGATCCTCCTGGACTCCGGCACATGTAGACCATAGGCTCAACCCCCCAAACCGTCATGTACCCGACGTATCTCGATATATAAGGGGTAAGGTCGGAACCTAGAGGGGGGAGGACGATCCTAGACAGATCATTCGATTCCTCAATGATCCGCTCCTGCTCGGCACCGAGAGCAGAGCAACCTAGAGAGGGGCACCGAGAGCTCCTCCACCACACCCGTCGTCTTCCTCCTCTCCGACGAGGGGAAGGCTCCACCGGCAGCGAAGCAACCTAAGGATTAGCACCGAGCTAACCCCCTACCAAATCTCTCTTCTTCCTTTACACTCTTGTAACCCCTTGATTTTGGGTGCTCTTGAGTATAAGGATCTTCAGCTGCTGGACGTAGGGCATCGATCGGCCCGAACCAGGATAAACCGATGCGTCCTCTCGGTGATTCTTGTGTTCTTGAGTCCACCCGAGCCACCGGAGATGCACACTCTGACACCAACTCGAACAACAATGCTTGCTGTGGTTCCGACTCCACGACAGCGGGCACGACAGGTAGGGGGCAGCGTCAAGTGCGATTCAGGCTATACGGTGGCTGGAGCCATCCGCCTCATCACCGGAGCAAGCAGCACCGCCCCAGACGGCGGTGTCCGCTTCCCTGGCGAGTTCTTCATTACAGCCGGTGCCTTCGCTCTGGGCCAGATCCTCAACTTTGGGAGCCTGGCCTATGTCGCCGACTGCTACGGCGAGCTATGTCCGCTCAATGGGGCCACGCCAGCGGGCAACGAGCTCCCGGCGCCACCCTCTCCGTTGGGCCTCCTAGGAGCAGATCTCGAGGTCCTGGCCCAGCAGATTCGGTGTGGTCTGGGTCTGTACCCCACCATGTCAGACCGTTGCCAGATGTTCTACATGTTGGTCAACGTCCATCACCAGATCGCCACCGGCGAGGTGCTCCCACCGCCCGACCGCTTCTGGTACTACCTCCCGGACCTGCCTTTTGGGATCTAGAATGCAGCGGCGTCCTTCCAGCTGGAGCTAGAGCAACTCATTAGCCGCGAGGCGCAACGGATCGCCATCCTCTCTGGCGCCGTAGGGGCCGATGTCCCCTCGCTGCGCACCTTCCTCGAGATCCTCTTGGGGAATGGCTCGGAGTATGACTTCGACGACATCAACTGCTACGCTCCGCCACGCATGTGCTACCACATCGACGACGAGGTTCCCGCCGAGAACGCGCCCGAGCTCACGCCGCCGGACTAGAGTCTCCGTAGCCGCGTGAACTACCTTTGGGAGAAGGGCGCTCGTCTACAGGCTCGGCAGGTGGACCTGGAGGCCGCCGAGGCAGAGCTCGAGCGCCAAAGGCAGGACCTTGCGTGGCAACAAGCTGCGCACCCCCCGGCAATGGCGACGGTGCCCGCACGAGGCACCCAGCACCCTATGCTTCCCCCGAGCGGCCTACAACATGGCGGCTGCCGCCTGCCGGCCGGAGGACATCTCCGACACGCCGGACCCAAAAACCAACGTGCGGCTGCACGAGGTGAGATGGCTTCTCCGCGTTGCTCTCGAGCAGCAGGCCGAGAGCCCTGCTTCCCGGCGTCACGCCACGTTCTCTAGGTCGTCCCAACCGACGACCACCGCCAAAGGGGATTGCTCCGACGCCCACGCCCCGCCGATGGGTGGAAGTGGTGGTGACTCCTCCGGCAGCAGCTCCGACCGTCCGCGGACCACGGGCGCCAAGCCCCTACAGGAGCGAAGGCGCGAGCTTTCCCCTCGGCATCCCCCCACATACCACCAGATCGGCGACGACCGCGACGTCCGCGATACCATCGAGGCCAGGCGCCACGCTCAGGCGTAGTCTCGCACTCCTGAGTGGAGGGACGGGGGCGCTGCCCTGAATCACTTCAACCCTAGGCGTTCAGGGCAGTGATCCGGGCGGCCCCCTGCCCTAGGCGATTCCGGTCGCCGACACACATCTCCAAGTATGACGGTGAGACCAACCTGGACCATTGGCCCGAGGACTACCGCCTCGCCATGAGGGCCAGGGGGTCGGATGACTTTGCTGTCTAGTACCTTCCTCTGCTTCTGTCGAGATCGACCAGAGCTTGGCTCGAGCAGCTTGAGCCCGGCAGCATCCGCTGCTGGGGCCACCTCCATTCCGTCTTCATCGGTCACTTCCAGGGTACATACACGCGACTCGGGAACTCATGGGACCTCCACAACTGCAGGCAGAGGGCCGACGAGACCCTCCGGGAGTACATCCAACGCTTCTCTAAGAAGCGCAACGAGCTCCCCAACATCAGCGACGCCGACGTGATCAACGCCTTCATCTGCAGCATGACCTGCGAGGCGCTCGTCTACGCGCTCGGCCGTGAGACCCCATGCACGACGCGGGAGCTCCTAGACGTTGCCACCCAGTATGCCACCGGCGAGGAGGCCGTCCAGGCCAACTTCAGTGGCAAAGCCAAGGCCACCAGCCACCTTAGCGGTGGGGACAGCGGTGATGACCCCGCCTCGTCCCAACATCGCCGCGACAAGCAGAACAAGGACCGGGAGCACCGCGGGGAGGAGATGGTGGCCTTGGCCGACCGCGTCGCCAGGTCTGAGCCCCGTGGGTGCGGTGCGCGCCATGAGCACTTCGAGAAGGCACTCAAGGCCCCCTGCCCGTTCCACGGGGGGCAGACGAAGCACTTCCTCAAAGACTGCACCACCATCAGGGGCTACATCCGCAGCACCCTTGGCCAGCAGGGCAAGGCATAGAAGCCTACCCCGAAGGCTGGCAAGCCGGCGGATGCCGCCTCGGAGGCTGACACCTTGTTCCCTGAGGCCGATCGCTGCCTCATGATCTTCGGGGGCTCCTAGGCATACGGGTCCCACCAGCAGCGCCGCATCACCGACCAGGAGGTGAACGCCGTCCACACCCTCGCCACCCCGATGCGGCTCCGATGGTCCTGGACGACCATCACCTTCGACTAGGGAGATCACCCCGATCGAGTTCCTCACCCGGGACGCTACCCGCTCGTGGTCAGCCCAATCATGGGCACCATGCGCCTCACCAAGGTGCTGATGGACAAGGGCAACAACCTCAACATACTCTACGTCAGCACCCTAGACAAGATGGGCATCCCGCGGAGCAGCCTGCGCCCTAGCAAGGCGTCGTTCTACAGGATCGTCCTAGGGAAGGAAGTCGTGCCCCTCGGGCGCATCCGGCTCAACATCACCTTCGGTTAGCCGGACAACTTCTGGAAGGAGCCACTCACCTTCGAGGTGGTTGACTTCCCCCGCGTTCACCATGCTCTCCTGGGCTGGCCATGCTTCGCCAAGTTCATGGCCGTCCCTAACTACACCTATTTTAAGCTGAAGATGCCCGGCCCGGCTAGCCCCTCCATCCAGGCGCTCGGTCCCCCAGAAGGGACTGACCTGATCGAGGTGAGTTCCGACCTTCCCCATGAGGGAAGGCCATCGCCGAGCCATCCACCCAGAAGTCCAGCGTCCCGAGCCAATGCCCGCTTGCCGACCTCCTTCGCCAGCCTACCTCTCCAATGACAAAAACCAAGATAAGTCCCATCCTCCCGACCTTCCTACTTTGCTTGTCTTGTTACTATCTCCTTTATCCCGAGCGACTCCAGCAGCTGCTCAGCTACACCAAAGGACTGACTAAGCTAACCACCCGTTGCCCTCTTTGTAGGAGGACTGTAGCAGAGGGCCCCCGAGCAAGGCAAGGACGGGATGGATGGAACGGGAGGACCGGGCGAGAGATCGGCAGAGCGCTAATGGAACGGCCCCAACCGCCGCGTTACCAGCTATGTCATCTTTCCCTTCTCTTGTGTCCATTTCGTTCATTTGTAGCTATCTCCTTGTCTCCTGATCCTTCATCGGATCGCGTCTCCCAGCCGCATGACGGCATGGGGACCCGCCAGAAGGGGCGTCGCCGAGGGTTCTAAGGCCGGCCCACTGGGCTTCAAGGTCGCCCGAAGCATCTAAAAGTGCGAGGGACATTCACGGTTCGGTACCAGAGGCCTTAGCCGAGCACTCAGAAGCAAAACCGGCCGACTGTCGAATGATGTCCGAGTACCGACCTCGGGCCGCTCGTGGTGACCCTACGAGGGAGGCAGCGAGCCCCCGAGCGCCGATAGATGGGCTTGGGAACTATACGAGTGGCTCGGTCAGGAAGCTAAGGACCTCCCCTCTAGGGGACATGACTAGGGCATGGAACGACCGTAAACCTGTGGTTCTCATGAACTCACCCGCTAGCAGCACGGGCGCGGCAGTCTTGGCCACCGAGGCCATTGTCGTAACAGCTCATCCAAATGAGGGACCTAAGTATCCGAGCCCAACTCGTGAGCGATGAGATTACAAACGAAAGTAATTTCATTTCATTAATTGGGAACGACCCGATTACAATATACGGCGGCAAAAACCGCTACAAACATCGCTGCCGCTGTGGCAAAAGCTGTGATCGCTCGGTTGGGACCCCTGACCGAGCTTCCGCGGCACATTGACAGGCACGGTGAAGGCAGGGTTGGGCCCTCGCCTCACTGACGCTTGAGAGCGTGCCGAAGGAGGAGGCACCTCCACGACGGCCGACCCCTCCCCGAGCCAGCGGCACCGGCCAAGCTCGTCGTCGCGAACACCCAGCGAGTCCCTGGACTGCTGGCTCTTCCATTGAGGAAGGATAGCGGGACAGGAGCTCGACGGGCCCTAGCGCAAGGAAAGCATCGGTGCTGGCAGCGCTTGGGAGGAAGACCGCGGCTGCTCCGGCCATCGGCGGTGCTGGAGGCCCCGAACCTCCGCCCAGCGCTGCGGTTCTGCATCCTCCCCCGCGCTGCGCCATCGGCTTCGCTTCGCTGGGATCCTTCCACTCTCGAGGGAGCGATCGCCCGGCGGGGGGAGCCAGATTCACTCGGAGGGAGACGTTGCACTTCATCCTCGCCATGGCCGCTAGGAGTTGGATCTGAGAGGAAGAAGAGAAGGAGCCGGAGGAGGGATAGAAGGTGTCGCGTCCCCGGGGCTTCCCTTTATAGCCCCAATCGATGCGCTGTGAGGGCTCTGGGCCCTCCGATCAGCCATCGATGGCTAAAGAGGCCTCGGCAAACCGGCCAGGCGCCCCTTCAATCCTCGTAGCACGCCTCAGAGCGGTTGCGTGATGGTGGCCGCGCAGTAAAGGCGGAGTCAGGAGGGCATTGAGAACGAGTCAAGTCCCCACTCCAGTTTCCACCAAGTGCGCCGCCCACTCCGAGCACGCCTCCTCATGGGACTTGAGGGGATCCGACTCTCCTCGGGCCCACCAGCCGCCATCAACGACCCAGATCTGTGCGCACCAAGTGCCACAGCTTCTCCGCCAGATCTGCTCCACGTGGCCTGACGTCCCATCTCCCAGACGAAGTGGGACGGCACGGGAGTGCACGCGATAACTCCTCTGGGCACGGCGGCCCAGGCGCCATCAACTACCTGCGCAAAGTGTCAATGGGAGGGACATGTCTAGAAGCCACCGCTCCCGCTACCACGGAGGCCCCATGACGGCCTCGGGGGCCGCGCCGGCTCCCCAGACGGAGCGACCTGACCCCCCGATCGACAGGGAACCGGGCGGCGTGCCCCCAAAACCAACCAACTGCCCGGAGTTGGGGCGGGAGCCGTTGAGCAGCGGGCCCAACGAGGGTCCCCCATCTGAGCTCGGCGCGCTCCCCATGCCTCAACCTATGGCAGCAGAAGGTCAGCCCAAGAAGGCCAGCCCGAGAGGATCGGGGCCGGCTACCGAAGCCCCCAGAAGGGCGTGGCGCGTAGGGTGATCAGGTGGCCCCGAGACATAGCCCAGATGCTCTTGATCACTCGACCCATAGCAGGCTTTGACCAAAAGGAAGGGTGCCCCCCCGCCTAAAGTCGGTAGCTCCAAGACGAGTTCACCGAACCCTCGCTCGGGCTACAGACCTACGCGACATAAGACCAAAAAAGGGGGTCAGCACCACTATCACTCGGCCTCAACAGCTGAGCACCCCCATTACACAGGGGAGAGGGCCCCACGCAGGGCATCGCACTCTTGTCAACGGAGGCCATCCCCGCTATGGCTAGCTCGATCACCAGAAGATCGAAGTCAGCCCTTCGTCGCCATCACGAACCAGGCCAAGTGAGGCCACGAAGGGCTCGGGGGCTCCTGACGAGATCCTAACACATGGGTATGTTAAGCCTCGGGATTAATGGTTCCTGACCGAAGAGACCCCCCGACCGACCCCTCCAGGATCGCCCGGAGGCTCGTGGGCTATACCCATCGGGTACTCTCGCGCGCACCCTCAGACTAAGAAACCCAGCCGAGCCTGAGCACGCCACAGCCTCTGCTCAGGGCTCAGGGGCCCGCTCGAGCCTCAGGTTCCCGATTGACGAGAAGCCAGGGCCCGATCCTTGGATCCTGCCTGGCTTACAACGCCAGCCAAGGCCCGGGCGCAAGAAGACACCCCGAGCCATCGAGGTTCGGGGGCTCCCCGACACTGCACCTTGGGCGCGGCATTGCCGGCTGCTCCCCCGACAGGGTCACGCATGGGATGTGACACAAGAAGACAAGCTCTCCCTCGGCCTCCGAGGTCTCGGGGGCTTCTGGGCCCGCGCGTTAGCCCGTTGAGCCAACCTCCCTCACCACCGAAAAGACTCCAGAAGGCACGCCTGGGGGAGGCCGGTCCAAGCCGACACAGCCTGGCACTCAGCGTGTCAGAACTGGCCAGCCGGACGATGCCCAGGGCTTCTTCGGCCGCACGACATCGCCACGGTCCACAGAGCACGGCTGCAAGACCCTCCTGGACTCTGGCGCATGTAGACCATAGGCTCACCCCCCCCAAACCGCCATGTACCTGACCTATCTCGATATATAAGGAGTAAAGTCGGATCCTAGAGGGAGGACGACGATCCCAGACGGATCATTCGATTCCTCATCGATCCACTCCTGCTTGGCACCGAGAGCAGAGCAACCCTGAGAGGGGCACTGAGAGCTCCTCCACAGCACCCGTCGTCTTCCTCCTCTCTGATAAGGGGAAGGCTCCACCGGTGGCGAGGCAACCTCAGGATTAGCACCGAGCTAACCCCCTACCAAATCTCTCTTCCTCCTTTACACTCTATCGTAACCCCCTGATTTTGGGTGCTCTTGAGTATAAGGATCATCAGCTGCTGGATGTAGGGCATCGATCGGCCTGAACCAGGATAAACCGTTGCGTCCTCTCTGTGATCCTTGTGTTCTTGAGTCCACCCGAGCCACCTGATACACGCACTTTGACACCGACTCGAACAACAATGCTTGCCATGGTTCCGACGCTATGACACTGACCACTAATTCATTTAGGTGATTCCTAGGGATCAAAATGGATGGAAACGGGCGGGAAACACTCTCTCCTGTTTCTGTTGTATTTTTTCTACCGGTAGCACTGGATATACGCAAATGTGGGAGCGAATTTTAGGCTGAGGTTAAAAAAATCCCCTCGTCCGTCCCCATAACCAAAGCACTGGTGGGGCACCGGTCCAATTCTCACTTGGGCGACGGAAAGCCACCGTGTAAGGGTGGAGGCGGGGGTTCGGGGGTTTTCTCAGCCGGATGAGAAGGTCCTTCTTCTTATTTGAAATGCTGCGGGGGCAGTCTTAACCCCCCGGGTCGAGTTTTTTTTTTCTACCTGTAGCGGGAGGAGTGGGATATATGGGTATACAAAAACTGGTAAACACGAGCGGATATACGATGGAAACGAGCGGTAGACGGGAACATAAGCCGGAATTACATGCAGTCATAGATGGTGTATAAATTCATCAACAAACATAAAACAATTACGGGATCAACGTAAGCGTGAAACTAGAGATTCCCCTTTTAAAAATTTAAGTGGTGTATAAATGGGTGCTATGAGTATAACTGCACCTATGACTGCGGTTTTCTTTATTGGACTACTAGCTCTGTGGCACTATGAATATAACTACATCTATGGCACACTTCGTCTTCTTTTAATATATATAAGTCATCAACAAACACCAAACAATGACTAGATCAACATAATGTCTTATTGGCAAGAGTTCCAAATATAAATTCACCATAATAAAGCCAGAACTGCAAATAAGATAGTTTGGGAGATATGATCATTAAATGTAATTGATCCTCTCAGGGATGATCATAATTATTATTGATTTGATTTGCACTATTATTTGGAGAGCAGAAACTCCACTTCCAAATGCCCCAACTCCTTTAGCATCACCCTAGGAGCATGGTTGACTCAGTCTCTAAGCAAAACATTTAGTTGAGTTGGTCATCAATAATGGACTTGATTTCAACTAACATGTCATGGTATTTTTTCAACTCCAATCCTATTACCTCAAAGTCGCCATTCACCACACGGACCAGTTTTGGATCAATATTCTTCTCCCGGGCCTTCAGCTCCTCACCTCGGAGTTTTGTAGCCTCTATCTGTTTCTTCAGCTCTGCATCCCTTTCCACGAAATGTTGCAGTACAGTCATCGTAACAGTGCCTTTGCTATTTCTAGCATCACCTGCAAAGAAACATTCATTATCAGAGTTGATAGAAATAGAATAGTGTTAAAGTAGTAATGCTTACTGGTCGATGAGATGATGATAAGATCATTACCAGTGTTTTGTTTATCCATTCTCGATGAACCCTTCACCATTGACTACTCCAGTACTCAATGTATTCTAGTGTCTTCTGTGTATGTGTGAAAATGATGTGCGAAGACCGGTGTAGCAAGATTATGTGGATGCCTTTATATAGAGATTTGTGTTAGGTGGTATTGAATTTTATAAGGCTGTACATTTAACGCATTCCAAATTCAACTATCTAAAGATTGGATGTATCCAGCGCCAGTGGATTGGTTGGTGCTATCATACACAACCAAGGTGCTTTTTATTAGCAGGTAATAATTGTGAATATGTGTATATTTAGCATGATTCGATATGTGCAACTGAACCGCTGAGAGTTTGGGTAGGCCCATTCTGGACGAATAGGTAGAAATGAAAGATAATACTGGTGTAGAAACAAGGTGCTTTTTAGCAGGTAATAATTGCACATATGCGTATATTTGGTGGGATTCGATATGTGCAAAACTGAACCACATATGCGAATATTTGGTGGGATACGCCCAGTCTGAACGAATAGGTAAAAATGAAAGATAATACTGGCGTAGAAACAATGGTGCACATTTAGCAAGTAGTAAATACACATTTGCTACTTAAAAAAAATACACATTTGCGTATATTTAGTAGGATTCAGCGTGTCAAAAATTGAGCTGTTGAAAGTTTGGATACCATTGGGGAAATGGATCACATCTCCCACCTTTGTCCCAGAATGACCTCTGAACCATGTGACACTGTAACTTGTTCAAATCGAAAACTAGCCGGAGCCACAGAGGGGAAGCTCCCGGGGCTCTGAAGGCCCAATTGGGCTGATGTGAGAGTTGACTTTGTGGTTAGTGAAGTCTACCTAAGGCCTTCTGGATGACTTCCCACATCGTCGGAGGCCTCCACACCAGGAGCCTCGTGTGTTGTCCTCAAGAGACTGACACCTAGGGCCCACCAAAAGTTACTAGGACAAGGTGAGCCCATGACACATCACACATTCAGAAGTGTTGGGGTGGCGTTGGTTAGAGAGAGAGAGAGAGAGAGCATATGTATAGATAAAGATATTTAGATATTTTCTTTTCTATATATCGAGATCGAGATATCGAAGTTTATTTATGGCGAGGTTCAAAATCTTGAGAAGATCAAGAAAAATAAGAAAATCTTTCGTTTTATCTCTTATCACTTGCACAAAGTAGAGAGGGAGGGTATTCTTAGGTACCTAGCATGCAGGTAAAATGTGACAAATAGACAGGCATGAAAGATAATACCGACATAGATAAACAGGTGGATATTTAGCAGGTAGAAATTTTGCATATTTGGTATATCATGTTCTGTGTATGAAGGACTATGCAAGTTAATTAAAAACTTGTTTGGTGATTTGTGTCACTTGTTTGGTAAGTATTGTTCATTGGAAGTTTTTTTTACATATATGTGGCAGAAATACATCCATATGCAAGGAGTAAGTGTCCTTAATTAACATATTTTACTTGCCTTGGCTACCTTCATTACCCTTGCACCCATTGAGTGAAATGCAGAAAACCTTGCCCATTCAGCACAGAGTAGAAAAACAATATCTGCTCTAGATTAGGAATGGCGCACCGCTGAAGGAGTACAAATTTGAAATTGGGTTTGATCTCTGCAAGAAAATAGTTTATATTTTAAGCCGACTGCAGCCTCTTGTTTCAGTGCTTGGTACTCTTATGTCGAAACAACATAAGAGGTTGGTCTTCCAAGTTTACAAATGTTAATGTTGTTGGCCTTTTCCTGTTACTCCTTTTTTGGCATGTAAACTGCATACATAAAGAAATACATCAGTTTCCCCTTTTCAGCTATTTCAAGTTCGACAAATCTGTATGAAGATGAACCAGAGGATGCGCGGATTGGATGTTAGGTGGAAGAAAGAAACATACATATTTTCTCAAGATAAAAAAGACACTTATCTTGTTTGCTGTTGCAGGTTATTTCTTGTCTTGGCTGTACATAGTTTTAGTTAATACATTAATGTTGCTAATAACCGTGATAATTCTTTTGCGTGTAGGAATGACAGACTGAGAGCAAGAAGGCGATACATTCTTCGTGTGATTGACTGATCGTTGTACTCTGTAGCTGTATATATATATGGTTATATGAGTACTGCTTTTACTTCTACACTGTGGATTATTTCCAGTTGACAGTTGGTGTACCATAGATTGACATTCAGGTGATCTTCGTTGAGTTCTGTTCCAGATTTCCCTTAACTTTACGCCGCCCTTCCTTTTCACTTTGCCCCTTTGGTTTTGCACTTGCCAACTGTCATGCTGCCGCCTACCAACGAAATAGAAACGCTTTCAGCTTTGGCCAAAGCGCTGAGTCGGTCCGAGCTCGTTCACCAATTCTGTGATTTGATTTAAACTTTCGACTATGATCAATTCCTGATAATGGAGTCGTCGGTCGTCGATGGGAGAGAAACAGTTGTTTGGCTGGGCTTTAACCCAGTCCTTGTCCACCCAAGTGGATGGGCTAGAAATTTAGTTCGAAGGTGGTGTCTGCAAGGCCTGAATAGTGTGGTACACAGATGGAATTTTTTTATTATATTGCTACAAACATCAAGGTTATTTTTGTAAGCGTTACATCATAAGCAAATTAAGTGGTTCTATGGATCGATTTTGGTCTTTGCAAAGAATTTGCATTTTAAACAGCTAGGCAATTAGTAAATTGATGCACGCCTATTAGACTGAATAATTATTTGAGTTCTTGTAATACTTTTCTCTCTACTACGAGTGAATTGTCAGATCACACACAATGGAGACGCCGGACCTAAACCTCCCGGTGATCGATACGTCGGCTTTGGTCCCAGCAGGTTTGGTGAATGAACGAGTCAATCAGTTGGCTCGTAGTGCGGATGGTCGGGGGGTTAATGCTTCGGAGGAGATTCCGAAGAAGCAGAAACGGAGCAACACAAATTCAGAAGCAAGATTGGAGGCGGCTGCAAGTGGCCGGGCACAATGAAAATCATGAGCCTGAACTGTCTGGGGCTGGGGCAGCCCGAGGCAGTTCAAGTATGTAGCTTTATACAGCTTCACCGCCCCACTTTGGTGTTTCTTTGTGAGACGTTTGTTCGGCGATTCGATGGATGGATTGAAGAGACAACTCGGCCTCCCTAACGGGCTGGGTGTGGGCTGCTACGGACGGGGAGGGGACCCTGCTCTTCTCTGGACGCATGAGGTCTGTGTGAAGCTACAAAGCTTTGACAAGCTTCACATAGACGTGGTGATTGTTGACCAGACTTTAGGTGCAGAGCTGTGGCGCTTTACTGGGTTCTATGGTGAGGCGAGAAGGGAGTGGAGGCACCGGAGTTGGGAGTTGCTGAAATTCCTAAGTAACCAGAGTACCGTCCCGTGGCTTTGCGCGGGGGATTTCAACAAGATTCTGGATGCCCAGGAGCAGCTTGGGAGTGTGACAAGGCCAGAAAGACAGATGGATGGGTTTAGGAATGCGGTGAATGTATGTGAGTTTTCTAACCTTGGCTTCATCAGATTACCATACACCTGGGACAATCGTCAATAGGTGTTGGCCGTCCTTAACGACCATATCCGACCGTCAATTAAGATCCAAAATAGGAGAAATAAACAAATTTATGACACATATGTTTTTTACTATTGACATAGTTCCACTTGTATTGCGGGATTACTATTTTGCAGGACTTATACTGGAATACAATGGAATTATAGTCAAAATGCGCCATCAGAGAAAGCGTAATGCAGATCCTACACCAAAGAATAAGAAAGCCCAACCAAATGCCAAAACTGGGCCAAGCACCAACGTGGGATTGATCCAGGCCCTGTCAGCAGCCCACAGCGCGAAGGCGGCGCCGAGGTGGGCCAGCCCTGGTGCGGCAGCACCAGGGGTGCGAGCGCACCGCACCCACCACCTCCTGGCCCCACCTTGTGCTGGCGGTGCCATCAATGCACCTGGGGGCGGTTCAAGATAGTTTCCTAATTTATCTCTCCCAAACCGACCACAAGCTAGTATAAAAGAAGGGGTGGAGCTCTCCCACAACACATACACACCATTTGAGCCTCTACACCTCACATCTCCGCTTGTAATCTTTTTACTTTTTAGTAGTCTTTGGAGCTAGCAAAGCTATCAAGGAGAGCTTGGCTCCTTGGAAGAGAGAAATCTTGGTATGAATAATATGAAGAATTCTTCCAAAGCATTGCTCTCATTTTATCAATATAGTTGTACTATTAAACTAGAGTATAGTCTTCATGTTATGATCTTGACTTATGAACTAGTATATAGTTTCTATGTTATGATCTTAACATGTAGAACTTTATGCTTAATCCTTCTTATAACGTATATGAGTAGAATTAGAGCTAAGTTGAGGTGGCGGTTCATCGTGCCTTCGGGTGTGCCCAAGTCTTTTACTTGTCGATCTGTAGGGTCGGAGTCCCGAGGGGACTTGGGTAGTTTATGTGTAATCAGGCCTGGTGCCTGGGTACATAGGAACAGGTGAATGCATTTCCTACTCCACGGTTGAGGGATAGGTGGTAGGTGGTGATAGCCCTGTCCATCCCTTGTAATCCCCCATGTTTGGGTAGGGTGTAGGAGTCTAAATTGTCATATGAGGTTGCTGGCAGACCAGTACTCGGTGGCCTTCCGACCCAACTCATGCCTAGATTTAGCTCTAACCATGTAATTTGTATGACCATCAACTATTCTTTGCATGGCTATATTAGAACAAGCCTGCCCCATTTAGAAACATTCTTTTATTCTTTGTTTCTCTTATCTTTGAGGTTGGCCCAAGTATGTGTCCACTATCTTGAATATACCATGTTTACCCCTGTCATAAACCTCGGTTCACTTTTCAAGCATGTAATCTTGTTCATATCTATACCAGAATCTTTGCACCATGCCTTCCTTTGGAAAAATATAAATAACAATACCCTGAATATTTTCGGGTGAAATGCTACAATGATAGATCCGTGTGCTTGCAAATATTTTCTGTAATCGTTAAGAACTATCATGTCGGGTTCATAAACCCGGGGTCCCTCGGGGACTGGCTTCCACGCCA